CCTAGCAGAAAAAAACCGTAACGCCAAGCCTGCCGTCACTCTCCCTTTAAACCGTCATAACTCGCTTGCCTCTTTATCAATTTCTACAATTTTTAAATCCTTCAAAGCGCGGATTTTTTTCTACTAATTGCATATAAAAATCCTTGATATCAACTTCAAATTTCAGGACAAGTCGGCGACGGGGGCGAAGCGCGGCGGCCGGCGCGATGGCAGGCCGGTGGGCCCTCGGCAATGACAGCCTCCCCTACGTTCCGTTCCAGAATACCCAACTCTACAAAATGGTCTATCAGGTGAGCCGGGGCAGGCCAGCAGAGAAAATTTGGGAATTCGAAAAAGCTAAAGAACAAAAAAAATCGGAACAACCTATTAAGAAATCCTGGCAAGAATGTCCTGGAAATGGCAGAGATCCTGGAAGAAGGGCAGGCTAGCAGAGATCCTTGCGGAAAGGAAGACTAGCAGAGATCATTTAGGAAACAACCAAAACACAGTTCTCACGTTCTATTTATTATTTTTGAGTCAGCTGTGCCCCCACCCACTACGCGTCACTCCAATTTCCGGGAGGGAGTGGGGCCCGGAACGCTTGTTGTCTTCCTCAAAAAGTTTATCTATAGGAGGGCAGGCTAGCACAGGTCCTTTAGGAAAATCGAGGGCGTAGCAAATCTCTGTTAGGAATTAATCCGACTTATTTCCGCAATTTTAGGTGTTGTCCGACAACATGACCGCAACCGGGTTGAGCCGGTTGCCCGCCTTCGATCCGTCAGTGCCGCCTCTCGGTAATGGTGAGTTTTCGTCAGCTTGTTGTCACTCTCCCTTTAAAATGCCCCCCAAAAATCTGGAGCACGATATTTTGCAGAAACCGAACTGTCGGACGAATTTCGCGAGGTGCGGATCAGTCTTATTATCGTGCTCGGCTGCATTTTTGCCGTGATGACGACGGCCGGAAATTTCATGGTAAGAGGCAGGCTAGCAGAGATTGTTGAGGAAGAGGAGAGGGCAGGCTAGCAGAGATTGTTGAGGAAGAGGAGAGGGCAGGCTAGCAGAGATTGTTGAGGGAAGAGGGGGAGGGCAGGCTAGCAGAGATTGTTGAGGAAGAGGAGAGGGCAGGCTAGCAGAGATTGTTGAGGAAGAGGAGAGGGCAGGCTAGCAGAGATTGCTGAGGAAGAGGAGAGGGCAGGCTAGCAGAGATTGCTGAGGAAGAGGAGAGGGCAGGCTAGCAGAGATTGCTGAGGAAGAGGAGAGGGCTGACTGAGCTAACAGAGATTCTTGAAAAAATTCGGTTCTAGGTGATGCTGTCCTTCAAAATTGACCGCCAGCTCCAGACGATCAGCAACTATTTCCTTTTCAGCCTGGCCGTGGCTGATATTACGATAGGTATTGTCGCTACCGTAACCCTCATTATCTCAATTTTTCCAGGAATTATCTCGATTCCGATGTACACCTACTACCGGGCGAACGGCGACTGGGAGCTGGGGTACGCGATGTGCCAGCTGTGGCTGTGAGTTTTCCCTAAGCCCAAGCATAAGCCGAAGCTCTGTTCAGCTGTATCGACTACCTAATGTCGAACGCGTCCGTGCTCAACCTGTTGCTCATCTCCTTCGATCGATACTTTTCGGTTACCCGACCGCTGACGTACAGACCTAGGTGCGTGTTTTAAAGGAGAAATTAAGTAAAGGAGTCCCTCCCCAAGAAGTCCTGCTAGCCTACCCCTGTTCCCAAACAATCTCTGCTAGCCTGCCCCTTCCAGGAGAACGACGAAGAAGGCGCTGACGATGATCGCGTGTACATATATAATTTCGCTGATCCTGTGGCCGCCCTGGATTATCAGCTGGCCTTATATTGAAGGTAGAAAATAGGGTCTACACTAGGCTACAAAGAACTACAAAGTACAGGCTATAAACTACCAACTTCAAGTTTTTAAAACCAATGTGAAGTCGATTTTAGGAAAATTCACGGTCGCCCCGGAGACGTGCGTCGTGCAGTTTCTCGAGACGAATCCGTATGTTACGGTAAGTCCCCAGAAATCACTGCTGGCCTGCCCTCTCCTCTTCCTCAACAATCTCTGCTAGCCTGCCCTCTCCTCTTCCTCAACAATCTCTGCTAGCCTGCCCTCTCCTCTTCCTCAACAATCCTCTGCTAGCCTGCCCTCTCCTCTTCCTCAACAATCTCTGCTAGCCTGCCCTCTCCTCTTCCTCAACAATCTCTGCTAGCCTGCCCTCTCCTCTTCCTCAACAATCTCTGCTAGCCTGCCCTCTACTCTTCCTCAACAATCTCTGCTAGCCTGCCCTCTCCTCTTCCTCAACAATCTCTGCTAGCCTGCCCTCTCCTCTTCCTCAACAATCTCTGCTAGCCTGCCCTCTCCTCTTCCTCAACAATCTCTGCTAGCCTGCCCTCTCCTCTTCCTCAACAATCTCTGCTAGCCTGCCCTCTACTCTTCCTCAACAATCTCTGCTAGCCTGCCCTCCCCCAGTCCCTCAATAAACTTTGCTAGCCTGCCCCCAATTTCCTAATTGTAGGTGGGCACCGCAATCGCAGCCTTCTACCTCCCCGTCACGATCATGATCATCCTCTACTCGCGCGTCTACTGCGAGACGAAAAAGCGACAAAAGGAATTCTCAAAATTGCAGGCGATCCAGGTATTTTTATGCACATTTGTAACTTTAAACGCCTCGTTTGCAGCAAAGAATCTAGGTATCAAAATTATTCGCTTTTTTCACGACTTAAAATCTATAAAAATGCAGAAAAAGAAAGTGTCATTGCCCGTACAGACGCGTCGCTGCGGGATGGTGGGTGTTGGATTTGGCCTAGGCATCCATTTTTGGCAAAAATATTCCGTTTTGAAGGCACTGGGAAGCCAAGAAAGAGCGCATTCCTCACTGATTTCTGCTAGCCTACCGTTTGACTTCCCGGTTCCTTTAGAATGCCTATTTTTGGCAGGAAACTTTTGAAAAATGTTCATACGAATTTGGAGAACGGATTTTGAGTGTGTGCCGGCTTATTGTGGTCTCAGAAATGGCTGTTTTTGCATAAAAATATGAAAAATATCGGCTTATGGTTAGGCTTAGGGCTTAGGCTTAGGCTTGGGTTTTGACTTGGGCTTAAGCTTCGGCTTAGGCTTAGGCCTGGGTTTTGGCCTAAGCTTAGGCTTAGGCTTATAGGTTTAGGCTTAAGCTTAGCTTATACCTATCTAAATAATTTTAAAATTTAAACCCCATTAAAGACATCCCAACCGACTCCCAAGCCGAAACGGAAAAGACGCCGTCAGGTCAAAAAATCGATTGCTTTTCCTACGAATTTTGCTGTCATGTTCCCTCAAAAAAATTGGACTTAGCATCTACCCCTTTTTCTCTTTTTTGCATGATGGTTTTTCCAAGAAAAACAACCCAAAAATCCCCAAAAATCGCTGCTAGATTGACCTCAATATTGGAAAGGAGTGCGGAATGCGGAGAGTTTGATAGAATCGATTTTGGCGTTTAGAACTGTATAAATTAACTTTAATCTGCTTTTTTAGCACCGCTCGATACGACGAGATTTGCATACGACGCCCTCGTCGAACTCGTTGGCCAAGTCGAGCACTGCGCTGCCCGCGGCTGCAGGTGAGGACCTTGGACCGATAGTTTTGTGCGACTGGGATTGAGCTCTTATGCCTAGGCTCGAGCTTAGGCTTAGGCTTAGGTTAGGCTTAGGCTTAGGCTTAGGCTTAGGCTTAGGCTTAGGCTTAGGCTTAGGCTTAGGCTTAGGCTTAGGCTTAGGCTTAGGCTTAGGCTTAGGCTTAGGCTTAGGCTTAGGCTTAGGCTTAGGCTTATGCTTAGGCTTAGGCTTAGGCTTCGCGTAGGCTTAGGCTCAGGCTTAGGCTTAGGCTTAGGCTTAGGCTTAGGTTAGGCTTAGGCTTAGGCTTAGGCTTAGGCTTAGGCTTAGGCTTAGGCTTAGGCTTAGGCTTAGGCTTGGGCTTAGGCTTAGGCTTAGCCTTAGCCTTAGGCTTAGGCTTAGGCTTAGGCTTAGGCTTAGGCTTTTCTCAATTTTTGCACGAGTGCCATAAATTACCTTTTTTGAAGGGCCCGGCTCGCGGAAGACGACGCAGCTCAGCATCGGCGGCGTGGTTGGCAAGGCGAGGTAAGTAGGCTTAGGCTTACGCTTAGTTTGGATACCAGGCGCTTCTCCTGGCTGAAGGCGTGCACCGGAAAGAGCGCTCAATCTTCTGAAGAGTCGTCTGAGGTATGAACGATAAGCTCGGTCAATGTTAGAATTTTGTAGGCAAATGGTAGGCTAGCAGAAGTCATTGAGGACGTGTGAAAACCTACTGAATTTCAGGCAGTGGCTGTCGTGGACGATCAGACGAGCGTCACCTCTTCTTTTTACCTGAAAAGAAAGGGCAGCGCCCCGCACAGTACGGTGGTTGAGGTACAGTTTCTCTCTCTCCCTCTCTCTCTCGCTCTTGCTCGCGCCCTCCTGTATTTTTGGATTTTTGCACGGTAGCACATTAAATTTTACTTTTTCAGGACAGCACATCCCTGGGCACCGGATCGCCACGGAATGGCAGCCGATATCGTACGCGAAATCAGCAGCCAGATCGACCACAGGTAGGAAATTGCTGGAATTCGATCCACGATGACCTTTCCTCCTCTTCCTCAACAATCTCTGCTAGCCTGCGCTCTCCTCTTCCCCAACAATCTCTGTAGCCCGCCCAACCCTCCTTTCTTCAGGTCGACACGTATACCGTACTCATCGAGCTGAAGGACGAGGGGACGAGGCCGAGCGTCCGGCTCTCAAGTTGCGATTCTGGGGCGTATGAGTGAGTTTTTAGCCCAATTTTTTTGTAGAGTTACAGTAATTTTAGCCATTTCTTGTTTTAGAAAATCGAAAAATCTAAATATTTCAATTGTTAAATTTTGCGCCGAATTTTTTGTTTGAAAAATGGTAATTTCCATAGGAATTTCAGTGAAATCTCGTGCACCCGGAATTCCTCACATCGGGGAAGGTCCCGCAGCGAAGTCGAGGCGACGATGTGCGAGGAGAAGAAGTTGGCCTTCGATAAAGGTACTGGGGCTCAGGGATTACTGTAGTTTGAAGTATTCTGTACAATTTGCAAAATCCGTATAATTTGCATATTTTGAGAATCCCCAGTCCCGGCCCGCAACGGCAAGTCCACGCTCAGCTCGAAGACGAAGGAGCAGGAGCAGCGGAAGAGCGAGAAGGTGATTTTTCGAATTTTCGATGCGCCTAAGCCCCAGCCTGAGCTGGAGCTTGAGCCTAAGCGTAAGCGTAAGCCTAGGCCTAAACTTTCAAATTTATCAACTTCCACGCTATACCGTATTCCAGGAGCGCAAGAAGAACGAGCGTAAGCAGGAGAGCAAGGCCGCCAAGACGCTGTCGGCCATCTTGTTCGCCTTCATCGTCACCTGGACGCCCTATAATGGTAAGAAAATTGGGATTATTGTTTTTGTAGTTGTTATTTTTGCAATTTACGCAGTATTTACCGTATTTTTACAGTAATCGTCTGCTGGGAGGCGTTCTACCCGCGGACCGTGCCGAGTATACTGTATGATGTGAGTCTTTGAGGATTGAGGGGCAGGCTAGCAGAGATTGTTGAGGAAGAGGAGAGGGCAGGCTAGCAGAGATTGTTGAGGAAGAGGAGAGGGCAGGCTAGCAGATATTGTTGAGGAAGAGGAGAGGGCAGGCTAGCAGAGATTGTTGAGGAAGAGGAGACGCCAGGCTAGCAGAGATTGTTGAGGAAGAGAAGAGGGCAGGCTAGCAGAGATGGTTGCGGAAGAGGAGAGGGCAGGCTAGCAGAGATTGTTGAGGAAGAGGAGAGGGCAGGCTAGCAGAGATTGTTGAGGAAGAGGAGAGGGCAGGCTAGCAGAGATTGTTGAGGAATAGGAGAGGGCAGGCTAGCAGAGATTGTTGAGGAAGAGGAGAGGGCAGGCTAGCAGAGATTGTTGAGGAAGAGGAGAGGGGCAGGCTAGCAGAGATTGTTGAGGAATAGGAGAGGGCAGGCTAGCAGAGATTGTTGAGGAAGAGAAGAGGGCAGGCTAGCAGAGATGGTTTCGGAAGAGGAGAGGGCAGGCTAGCAGAGACCATTTTTTCTTTTCAGTTTGCATATTGCCTCTGCTACATCAACTCCACGATCAACCCGTTGTGCTATGCGCTGTGTAATGCCCGTTTCCGGCACACCTATATGCGGATTTTGCGGTGCCGCTTCGGGCACGACCGCCCCCAGCATATGAACCAGGCCTACGTGAGGAGGACCTAGGCTTAGGCTTGGGCTTAGGCTTAGGCTTAGGTCTAGGCGTGGGTTCCTCTTCGATTTCCTACTCCCCTCCGATCGATTATTCCCCCACCGGTATTATTGTACGCATTATGCAAATTTTCTCCCCAAAATTATTGCTTTTTTCTGAATACAATTTGGGTTCGCCTGGTGCTCTCTATTTTTCGATATTCACGATATTTCCCCGCCAAAAATTTATGCAAATTGAGCTGAAATTAAATGACGAAAACACGACTAGTTGCTCAACATTTTTTCTAGTCTTTTGTTTGTATTTTTTACTTGTGCTTGTGCTATATTCGGTTCTTTTGCATTAACGGGGGGCTCAGGGGGATTAAAATGACATATTTTCGACAAAAATGTCATTTTAAGGAATTTTTAAGATTTTGAGAGGGTTTTTCTACTTGAAAATGGTTGAATTTTACTAAAAACTCTCCGAAATTTCCAAACTCATCAAAAAAATTACCCCCCCCCCCCGGATAATGTAAAAGCTCCGCATGCTCTATTTTTCACTTGCGTAGCCTTACCATCAATTTTTCATATTTGAGAGGGCTGCCTTAGTTTTGAAAAAAAAACTTGGGGTTCCCGATTTTAAAGTTTATGCTGATTTCCCCATTTTTGTAGTTTGATTTTTTCGTTTTCTACCGTAACTGACGGGTGCCGCCTGGCCGCACAAATACATACAGTATTTTCAGTTTTATCCTTCAATTTCTTACATTAAAATCGATAGTTATGTATTTTTTCACTTGACAAAAATTATTTCAACGTTACCATCGAATTTTTATGGGGATTTTCGGTGCAATTTCGCGAGATTCCCACGGCTCAATGTTTTCTCCTCCGCCAAGGCGATGCTGATAAAGATGGAAAATATGGTGTAAGCTATGCAAAACTACACTACAAGCCACAGGCTACAGACTACAAATTCCATAAATACACTTGAAGCGCTACACTACAAACTACATTTGAAACCACAAGCTAGAAACTGCAGGTTGGCTACAGCTACAGGCCACAAACCACAGAAATAATTTTGTACAAACGACATACCAACACAACACAACGACACAACAACCCACAAGCAAACTACAAGCTACAAACTACCAGCCACAAACTGCAAACTAGCCACAAACTATAGACTACAAGCTACAGTTTAAAAACTGCAACAATACTAGTGCTAGCAACTGAACAGTTTGTATGTCACTAAATGTATATTTCCGGAGCTTGGCTCAGCCTTAGGCTTAGGCTTAGGCTTGGCCCTGACTTTATTTTTATTATTTCCTGCTTCTCAAATTCAGGGGTCGGTGGTTCGAGTACCCAAATCATCGCCCGGCCACTCAACCCTCAGGAGAACATCAGATTTGTCGATTGAGCCGCCGAGAGGGGGACATTTGTGATTTCTCTGTTTGATAAACACTCGACGAAAAAAGATGGTCAGCCCGATCCCAGGGGGAGGATCAATTTCGGGGGTATTTATGAGATGATCCCGTGGGGGGAAGACCCCTCGGGAAAGGACGCCCACGTGGAACACGAGATGGTTTTTGAGGGGCAGGCTAGCAGAGATTGTTGAGGAAGAGGAGAGGGTAGGCTAGCAGAGATTGTTGAGGAAGAGGAGAGGGCAGGCTAGCAGAGATTGTTGAGGAAGAGGAGAGGGCAGGCTAGCAGAGATTGTTGAGGAAGAGGAGAGGGCAGGCTAGCAGAGATTGTTGAGGAAGAGGAGAGGGCAGGCTAGCAGAGATTGTTGAGGAAGAGGAGAGGGCAGGCTAGCAGAGATTGTTGAGGAAGAGGAGAGGGCAGGCTAGCAGAGATTGTTAAGGAACAAACCAGGGTTGAAAAACCGCTTCGCGGCTTTTCAACCCTGGCCCCGTCTAACGCACACATATTTCTTCCCGAACCTTGATTGCAAAAAAATGAAAAGGACCCCTCTACCCCCTTATATAAGCTTTCCCCACTTCCGGTGCATGCAAATTGGCTCCTAACAAACAGATTTTCCGATCAACTATAATAATTTTCTTGACGCGTCTGTCTGTCCGTCCGTCCGTCTGAAGCCGAATTCAACTCGAAGGGGAAAGGAGCTAGAGCTTAGGTCTCTTCGGATTCGGATAGAGCGTGGTCAGAAACCCCCAAACTGATAAAAAAATTACGAAAAAGTTTTTGTTTAAATTATTAAAATTAACTTTGAAAGTGGCGCCTTAATAAAACGAGTGGGGGCCCCTCTCCCCGGGAGGCCACGCCCCCTTTCTCTTCGCCCCTCTTCCCCAGGCCCCTTCGCGCGCCCAGATGCCTTTTTGAGTTACTTTAATACTTTTAATACTTTTTAATTATGTTAATTAATTATTTAAATTATTTAAAGTATCTAAAGCCATCAGGAAGGTATTGAGGTAGTTTTTGAAGGGGATTTCAGCCATGGGGGGTATCTGAAGCCATCAGGAAGGTATTTAGGTAGTTTTTGAAGGGGATTTCAGCCATGGGGGTATCTGAAGCCATCAGGAAGGTATTTAGGTAGTTTTTGAAGGGATTTCAGCCATGGGGGTATCTGAAGCCATCGGGAAGGGATTTAGGTAGTTTTTGAAGGGGATTTCAGCCATGGGGGTATCTGAAGCCATCAGGAAGGTATTTAGGTAGTTTTTGAAGGGATTTCAGCCATGGGGGTATCTGAAGCCATCGGGAAGGGATTTAGGTAGTTTTGAAGGGATTTCAGCCATGGGGGTATCTGAAGCCATCGGGAAGGGATTTAGGTAGTTTTTGAAGGGGATTTCAGCCATGGGGGGTATCTGAAGCCATCGGGAAGGGATTTAGGTAGTTTTTGAAGGGATTTCAGCCATGGGGGGTATCTGAAGCCATCAGGAGGTATCTAAGTAGTTTTTGAAGGGGATTTCAGCCATGGGGGTATCTGAAGCCATCGGGGAAGGGATTTAGGTAGTTTTTGAAGGGGATTTCAGCCATGGGGGGTATCTGAAGCCATCGGGAAGGGATTTAGGTAGTTTTTGAAGGGGATTGCAGCCATGGGGGGTATCTGAAGCCATCAGGGAGGTATCTAAGTAGTTTTTGAAGGGGATTTCAGCCATGGGGGGTATCTGAAGCCATCAGGGAGGTATTTAGGTAGTTTTGAAGGGGATTTCAGCCATGGGGGGTATCTGAAGCCATCAGGAAGGTATTTAGGTAGTTTTTGAAGGGATTTCAGCCATGGGGGTATCTGAAGCCATCAGGAAGGTATTTAGGTAGTTTTTGAAGGGGATTTCAGCCATGGGGGGTATCTGAAGCCATCAGGAAGGTATTTAGGTAGTTTTTGAAGGGGATTTCAGCCATGGGGGGTATCTGAAGCCATCGGGAAGGGATTTAGGTAGTTTTTGAAGGGGATTTCAGCCATGGGGGGTATCTGAAGCCATCGGGGAGGGATTTAGGTAGTTTTTGAAGGGGATTTCAGCCATGGGGGGTATCTGAAGCCATCAGGGAGGTATTTTGGTAGATTTTTAACGGAATTTCGACCCGGAGGGGTATCTGAAGCCATCGGGAAGGTAGCTATGTTTTTGTGGGGGGGTTGGCTAGAGGAGGTATCTGAAGCCATCAGTGTAGTTATTGCCATGAAGGCATCAGCGTAAGGTAGGGATTAAATGTGGTGGTGTAGAATATGGAGGGTGGCCCGAAGTCCAGCCGATTGCAGTCGCGAAGCGGCTGTAATCGGCTGGTATCTTTACAAAAACCCAATTTTACTTGCGAAAACAGTAATTTTTCAAAACTTTGATATGTGTGCACTCATCTCGGCACCATTACGCACCTAACGACGTATCATACGTACCTCAAAAACTCTCCCCTGAGGCTGTAGGTGAGAGACAACCTCACGGAAGTTGCATGCAAGTGCACACACACAGACACTATTTTTTTATATATAGTAGGAATAGTAGGATATAGTAGGATAGGATCCCCTAAAAGAATAAGCCCTAAAATTTACATGCAAGCGTACAGAATATCTCCAAAACTAAAAATTCCCAATTTTTCCTTATTTCTACTAG